GGAGGCCAAAGAGGTGGGACTGTTCCATTCTACACTCGCGTAATTGCCTCTGATCCCACCTTAGAAACTCGAGCGTAAAGAGGCTCGTCTCAAGGCTAAGAAGGCCGCGGCCGCGAAGAGTGATTCTCCTGTGCCCGCCGACGCGACTACTACCACTGAATCCACCACAGCATCAGCAGCAGCTGCTGACGAGGCTTCCTCCTCCTCCTCCAGCTCCGAGTCCGACACGACTACGGGCATGGAGGCCGACACCGAAGAGTCGGTGACGTCGGAGGAGGAAGAGTTGGACAAGGCGGAGGGAGGCGCCAAGAAGGAAAAGTGGGTCGCAGTCAAATCGCAGACACCCGCCGCCGCCGCCCCTGCGGAGCCCCAGCCTGAAAAGTCTGACGAGTCTGCTAGCCCCTGATAAATCCCGCCGCTCGCAGCGAAATATTTGGCTGGACTGGCTGCTCACTCCACGCCTCCTCCCGTGCTCGGGATCCCGCCGCTAATCTGTCGCTATCTACATCTACTGGTTCTTCGTGTTTGGTTGTTATCCTGCCTGTGATACGTTAGACGGAATGGCATCGCTTTTGTGGATCTCTTCCACCCCCCTCCCTTCTCGCTGTGTGCAGTCCGATATATTTCCACAAAATTGAGAGCTAGGGGGCGTATATATTAGGGCGTAAAATGCATGAAATGACGTGGATGCGCGTATATGAATGAGTCTATCCAAAGTCTATCTACGTAGGTTTCACATTAACGTCCGAGAGGGTTTTGAACGCCTCCTTGTATGCGTCGAGGAGGGCCTTCACCCTCGTCCGCTCCGCCACCAGCCCCTCGTCCTCATGAAGCATATCTTGGAATAACTCTGGCTTGTAGAGGGACGCGACGAGGCGATTCTGCACATGGTACGACGTGTGGTTGACGAGGAAGTGCATGATCGCTTTGGGGACGAGGTCCTGGATGCTCTGCCGGACGATCCCAAAGTAGGATGCGATCAAAGAGCGGATAAGAGATGTCTCCATCTCTTCTCGCAGGGTGAGGTTGTGCCCCTCGGAAGGAATCTTGGACACGAATACATTAGATACGAATAATAAAAGTGGATGAAGTGGCTCACAGCTTCAATATGTTTCCCAAGACTCTTCATATCGTACGCAGCATTGCTTCCGTCCATGTTGCGCTGTCCCGACATTAGTCCGGACGCGATTGTCATGGTGGAGCTCTCCCCTCCAGATACATCCCGCCCCACAGGCACAACGCTGTGCCCGCTACCGCTCGGACGATTGTGGTGCCCAGGGCTGCCCACGCTCGAACCAGCGATCGGGGCCGGTCCATTCTGACCGAAGAAGTAATTCAAAAACGTCTCCCGTGCTGAGGGCGGAGAACCGCGGTGGGTCTGTGCCATGGCAGAGTGCGGTCGTTGTTGATTTGGGAATTTTCTTGCCGTCGGCACGGCCACCTGGTTGTTGGGAGTAGGGGTGGACCCAGTCGATGTCCGGGCACGGTCATGTATTGTGGCAGAGACAGAGCGGGTGTCACCGCGGGGAGGGAAAATGCCGTTAGGAAGGCCGTTTTCGTCTGACGACTCGGCGTCCTCGTCTGTGCCAGTGCCAGTCGTAGGCTCAGTAGATGCAGGCTGGTAAACAAGTGCTGAGTGAACTCGCAGAAGGTGCACGAATAATTTGAGCTTACTCGGAGAGGCATCTGCCGGACTGGAGGGGAACTGGCTTGCTGCGCAGCGACAGCAGAGCCAGAGATGAATGCAGGGTGATTTGTGTTAATGTACGCCGCCTGTATGGCGATCAAACTCTGCGCATAGTCGGACGTGGGACCCAGTCGCTCCCGCAACAGCTCGGAAACGACTTCGATGAGTTTGGCATGTAAGCCGGGGAACCGTTGCAGCTCCTGAAAAACACGGTAAGCTACTAAACATGCCGACGATGAAAATACTTACAGTGCTTGTGCAATTATGGCAAATCTTCACAAGCTCCTCGTACACAAGCTCTACGCAGCGCAAACTCGGAGCCTCTAAGAGTTTGATCTGAGGCTTTACCAGGAGATCGAATGCAATTTCAGGGACGAAAAGGCTTGGACGAGGACCCGTGGAGTTACGAATGGCAGTCCGGATGTCCTGGTTCTCGAGGTTTTGCGTAGAGTCGATTGAATCGAGGGCCTGCCCGAATATGTCGTTGAAAATATAGTATATCCGGGCACCGCCCGAGAGCTCTTTCGTGGAAATGTCGACTTTTGTTCCTTCGATCGAAGAAACGAAGTCGCGCGCGAACTGGGTCATCAGTCGCAAAATAAGAGCTCCTTGCTAGAATGATCCATGAGTTTGGACGGATAGTCGTCAAGGAATGCCGCGGACCTGATTTTGGTCTCCAAAGCTATCTGAATCGCCGAACGAGTTGAGCTCCTGCTGAGCCTGGCCCATCAAGGTGTTGAGCCGAGCCTTCATGTCTGGGAGCTTGTCCCGAATATGGTTCATCAGGACCTGTAAAACACATCAACACTTGTTTCTTGTCCAGGACGATGCACCGGACTTGGTTCAGGCTCTTCGCGAGATATTTTGTTCCATTCTTGTGGGCGATATTTCGATATGCCGGATGGTTCTTAAAGAACTCTGTTTCGCTCTGCAACGCGGCATCCATGCTCTTCTCCCCATTGATGTCTTGTTGGCTACGGTTCACGACACCGATGAATCCAAGTTTCAGAGGGTAGACGCGGCCCGTAAGAATGTCCAAAGCATTCGTCCCAGCATCCATCAAGTCCAGCTTCGTCAAAACGCCAATTGTCCGCCGGCCCTGTGGGTCGACCTGACGGGCGAGCTTGAGCGACTCCGAGTTGGCCAAGTCAACATTGGCCGGTGACACGGAAAGAATAACACTGTTCGGTGGCGGGTGAACATTCCGTTCCAGAGCGAGTTGTAGGCACACACCTGTTCGGTTTGGAAATATAATCCAGCACCAGATTGCGAATTTGCCGTTCAATATCACTTGGCTGATCGCCAACAGGAATCTTGAATATGCAAGTGTCAATCGTCTTGAATACAACTGAGCAAAGAGACGCACTTTGGTCAACCCGGGTAAATCAACGAGGGTCAAGTCCAGAACGTCTGGACTGTAAATTCGGAGGGATATAGGCAACTTGCTGACGCCCTTGTTTTGCCCCGCGACCCGGAAAGTCTCCTGCTCGATCTCCTTGCGAATTTCGCCAAAGTCGGTGAACTTCTTGTCTATGTGGAGGAATTGCGCCCATTCTCGAAACGTTGGGCTGCTGGGGGAGGAATCGGTGGATTCGGGAGTGTGTATCAGTTGGAGCACTAATGGCCGGCGCGTCACGATGCCCTGGCCACGGGGAAGAAAGTCTCGTCCAACGATGCTATATCAGGAAAACATGTGGGAGACTGGAGGACAGAGATCATGGCCACTCACGTCTCAAGGACACTGGACTTTCCTGCTGATTGACTGCCCACCTGGAAACAAGTCAGTCGAAGAGCTTGGACCCCCTCCCTATGTCCCACTCACAACTACAAGTTGGGGCATGTCGAGCTCCCCCCCTGTAGTTGAAAAAAACGTTGGACACTTAGTATACAATGGCGTGGGCGGTGTCTGGGCGCACCCAAGTTATTGAAGGTGTCCTGGAGCTTGTTCACAAGCTTGATGAGGTCGGTGTCCATGGTTGTGGTACAGAAACAAGAGTCGGCGCGGCGAAAACGCGTAAATGCGCGTCGTCACGGCAGTTGATTTGTCCTTATTGACGGCACTGCGGCACAACGGAGACAAAAATTCAAGTCAAAGTCAAAGTAAAACAGATCCCGTGAATTATCTACATCGAGTTCAAGAACTGCAGCAAATCCTTTCTGTTTGCCTCGCGCTCTTCGTCTCCCTTTTCCTTTTTGACCTTGAGTTTAATCTGTGCGAAAAAGGAGGGAGTCTGAGGATCGTGTGACCGCCGGTATGCAAGAGCAAATACCTTTTTCCCGGTCAGGATGCTCCTTCGCTCTTCCTTTTCCTTTGAGCGTTCTCGCTCTTTCCTCCGGCGTCGGCGCATTCTGTCCTCTTCATCGTCATCCTTGTCCCTGCTGCGTCGTTTGCTGCTTTTCCGGTCGCGGGTCGAGGAGCCCTTGTAGTCCTTGTCACGAGAATAATCATCCCTGTCCTAATAGTTGAGGAAGAAATCACGATGTACATGATAGCACCTTCCGAGGTCAAAACCCATTAATTTGATATGTTGAGCGTAGACGTACCACTGAGGAGGCAGCGCGACGGCGTTCCCGACTGGGACTGCGACTACGTGTTCGACTACGTCGGCGCTGCGGACCTGGGATATAGCACAAGCCTTCGAAGGATTAATGCATACTGACAGAATAATCGTATTCGTCTCTTTCCCGGCGCGGACTAGGGCTCCGCTTTCGTTTGCTCTACGACAAAAATATCATCACGGAGAAGAGGAAACAAAAGAAAGTGGGCTTACCGAATGCTTTTCACCATTTCGCGAACGATGGTCAGAGTTCACGCTTGAATCTCTTCGACCGCGTTTAACCTAGAGGAAAGCCTAAATACAGATACAACCGAATCAGCCGACAAAACGAACGTCGGACTTCCGGTCTAGCTCGTCGCGGCCACTATCGCCGTAGTGGCGCGAAGCATGGGAGCGTGAGGCAGAGTCAGAGTGCCTAGAGGAACCGCCGGTGCGATAGGAATACTCGTCGCGAGTGTATCTCTCGGGAGGTGGCGACGGAGACCGCTCTTTCATACCGTCGTACAGCCGTGCAGACCGAGGTGGGCGAAAGATGAGATGTCAGAACGAGTACAGATGAGTCCCATAGGCTTGGTGCGCGTGGTCGATGTATCTCACCATTGCGAGACCTGGAAGACTGTTTCTCTGGAGGCGCTTGGTCCCATCTGGATGAGTATCCCATTGCCAGCTGAGAAACGTTTGCGTCAAAGTGCAAAGGGAAGATGCTGAGTCAGGGTAATAATTGATGTGGTAAAGAGCAAAAAGGCTAAAAAGGACTCTCCACCTGGGAGTCGAACCCAGCTCACCCGCGTTATCTGTAGGGTTCAAATCCCAATACTGACAGGCGGATATACTAACCGATATACTAGTGAAGACATATTGGTGGCTCCCCAAAAAGACATTATGATTCTAGATGACGCTCTTATTAACTTGGCGTTTTCTCCACCATCAGCCGCCGACTAGTACTCTGTACCCTGGCAAAGCCTGGCAAATGGACTGGAGTACGAGAACCACTACTCTCTTACCACCAGTGCTCCAGCCTCGCGGTGACTTGTGTGTCGGCCCTAGCCCCCCTCTACCGCTGCGCTGTATGTGTCCTAGACACTCTGACATCTCCGGCTTGCCCTACTAGGCTAACACCTCTTCTCGTGGTGCTCGATCTTGGCCCTGTTGCTCTGCGCTGTTCCTTTGACCATCTACTCTACTAGTCCCTGTGGATCAGGTTTCCTCTATCTATCTGCAGGTGTCATCGCTATATTCCCTGACCTTTCCATGGTTGGGCTAATCGATCATCATTAATTGCACGGCCTCGATAGGGTGCATTTTTCAATGCTAGTGGATGGCGGGATTTGTTCTTGGGAAGAGAGGACTCGGACCACCCGGGACCAGGCCACGACCGTGACGGTTTTATCCGTCTATCCTGCGGTCGGCCAGATATAATTGGGTGCGTGTATTTTTTTTCGATTTTGCGTGATGTTGATGTGATAGGTTGTCCCGAACAAGCGAAGGTCAGAGTGCTCTTGGCCAGTGCTTATAGAGATCTGCAGCTCCGCCGAGAGAGGTCAGCTCGTCGAAGGCAGATAACTACTGGCGTAGCACAAGTATATTCTTAGGCCGATGTCTGTACGCTACACCAACGCTACACCCACGTTCGGAAGGGGACCGCGGTGGTTAATATTATCCTGAATCTTATCGTTATTTCGAACTCAGATTTTTGGGGGAGACGACGTGCCATGCAGGTTTACACCTATATACGAAGTGAAGACATGGTAATAATATTCTCGCTGACGAATTTTGGAGGAGTTAAAACCTTCTCCGAGTAGACCGACAGAACGTTGCCAGGATTGACGAATATCGGTCTCCAAATCGATCCCTCTGGACAGAATCAACTTCCATAAAAAGATTACATGTACAAGAACATATATACAAAACTATGACTGGCCCATTGTACGTGCCTGCGCCAGCAATGACTCTGCGAACACTTGGAAGTCGCTCCTTCGACAAGACCGACCGGGCTACCCATGAAATAAATACTCTAGGACACCGAGAGAAAAAAATAGTGCTCACTTTGAAGGCGTAGATGACAATCTGTGGCGTTGAATTGGAAGAGTCCGACTTGTCCTCCAATTCTTTCAGCGCCACGCGAAGGATATTCTCCTGCACATCATAAGTGCATCGTACGCTAGGCAGCATCCGTACGTTCATGGAAACCTTCCACAAAGGCTCTCGCCGGAAAACTGGGATTTTGCTAATGAATAAAACGTCGCCGGGTGTTGGCAGAACGCACGCAATCGTTTGGAGAGGGTGGTCTTATGGGATAGGAGCTTGATGTGGCCCACCATACCGCCCGAGAAATTATCGTCGCCGCGCTTGATGAAGAGTTTAACGCCCTTCAATTCCAGAGTGACGTCTTCCTCTTCCTCTCCAGTTAAAGCTGCAAAAAGGTTTGTATGCGTTGTGGAGGTATTGCATTGGACTGACGAGTTTGCATCGCGACGGTCGGAGCTTTTGCTGCAGCGAGGGCAGGTAATGGGTCTTTCTTCCCCTCGGGTTCACCGTCCACGCTCGAGGTTGCTGCTGTTTCGCCCGCGGACACCTCTGTCTCTGTGGCACCTGCCCAAACAGCTTTCCCAAAAGTAACGGCTGTGTCCTTTGACGGACTCGTGGCGAATGGCGAAGAGGATCCCGCGAAATTCGCGAACCCTGGAGATGCACTGCTCCGCTGAAGTAAAGTCTCTAGTTAGATTCCTCCAATAACTGAACAAACATATCGTCTCACAGTAGAAGGGAATTGTGTCATGCGCGGAAGGGTCTGCGGAAACACAAACCGCGGCCGTTCTGTCCGAACAGGCTCTGTCACAGCAGGCTCCGGTTCGGGTACTTCTGGAATTGGGCTGTCGCCAACGACGTCTGGCTTAGCCGGCAGCGCTGAAGCTGAATCGGATAGATTCGAGTCGGGTACTACTATTTGTGGCTGCTCGTTGGTTGAAGAGTCGCAGGCCGCTGGGGTCATATCCTACGAGATACAAGGTTGAGGGGTATCAATGGTCCACGCGATAATGGGCACCCACAGTTTTTTCGTCCGGCTCCGGGTCCGAAACCGATCCACTTCGACGTTTATTTGGGTAGATCGATTTGAGATTCTAAACATAGATGCACGGTGAGCAGTAGAATATCGGCGCACGAGAAAACAACAAACGTGCGGATAGCCTTGGGCGACATCCTAGAACGTGCTAACTGAGCACCAACATCGAGGTTTCAATCGTGGAGGTGTGTGTACCTGGTCAGTCTGGTCCGAGTCGTGCGCGCGCTTCCGTTTCAACGAGCTGTTCAAATTCCCGCCGACAGCGATGGTTTCTACTTCCATGTCCGAGTGAGGGTCCCCGTCGGTGGGATTTATTTCCCCAAATGGTTTTTCAAGCGTCTTCGATAGTTCTTCCCTGTTAGAACTGGGGTCCAAATTTTGTGGGGCGCCACGCCTGATCCCCAGTCAGCTCCGGTTAGTTTATAAGATTCAAGGTCGACATACGAGGGAAGGGGTCTGACTTTTCTAGCGCAAGCGTAGCCCACAGTAGCTGCGATCGTTGCGATTCCACAGACGACAAAGTTGAAGTCCGGCGCGGAAAGCATGGTTGGATTCCGGTGATGGATATGTGGGATGGCGTTATTAATCCTTCGGACAACGTTTGGTATAGGAGAAGAGGTACTGGAAGGAGCGCGGTTGAGAGAGCCTGATATCCCGCGAGAGCCGTTTTAAGCAGGATAAGGATGCCGTGCGCACGCGCCAGGTGCGTGGCCTCGAGGATTCAGATCCGGAGCCACGAGGTATTCATGCTCGATTCAAGACAGGACAAGTGCGTTTCTGCTCCGGCCGTCCGCGATGTTCGCCAGCGTCGATAGATTTCGGATGGTCTAAGACTGTCTTGACGCTTGCTTCCTCGAAAATTGGGGGAAAACTCTGCCATTGGTTAAGGCCGCGTCCAAGAATTGGCCTGACGAATGTTGGCAGTCTGAAATCTGGTATTTTTAGCCGGCGCCCCCAAAGATCGTGGCAGTTGAATGCGCAAAACGCGAGAGTCTGAGCCTTTTTAAACAGGAGAGGTCACGTCATGTGACGTGACTCCCAGCGATTTGCTTGCTGCCGTCGCTGAAAATCGTCGGGATACACCAAACGTACGGTACCGGAGAACATAGTACGCGACTGTGAGATACCAGCCACGGTTTTCGTCGCGTAAACCGGCAACGTACGGGGCGCGCATTCTGCCGGGTCGCGTGATCTGGACTGACGTGGTCCGTTCCCGCCCATATAAATTTGGGACAGGCAGAAGCTCTCAACAACTCTGTAACCATGCTCTCCGCCCGGCTTTTGCTGTCCCTCGTATTCGTCCCGGCGTTTGCGTCGGCGGCCGTCTTTCCCCCAGACTCCCTCGTCAAGATGCTCGACGCCAAGAGCTTCAAGAAAGCAATGAAGGCGAACGTCGGTGGTTTCTGTTCATAATCCGAGCATTTGTTGAACTGGCACCGCAGCAAACTAGCCTGGTTGCGTTCGTCGCTCCTTGGTGCGGGGTATGTCCAGATCTCCTTTCCGTTGCCTGTGCCATCCCTGACAATGTATATTATCAGCATTGCCAGCGGATGGCGCCAGAATACAGCAAGGCCGCTTTGGGGCTCCACCCATTAATTCCCCTTTACGCTGTCGACTGCGACGAGGACAAGAACAAGCGCTTGTGCTCAGAGCAGGGCGTTCAGGGATTCCCCACCGTCAAGGTGAACATAACTGCCTACTCGAGGCTTCACATATGCTTATTGCATGCAGCTCTTCCCTCGTGGGAACGACCAGAGCCCGATAACTTACGAAGGCAGTGAACGAACTGCAAGCGCTCTTTACTATTTCGCGACACGTCGGATACCCGGTGCAATGACCAAACTGTACAAGACTGAGGATATCAAGCCGTGGGTTGAAGAGGTCAGCCGGATATCCACCTGGACATCGAAACGGTGTAATAAACTTGACCCGCAGACAATCGACAAGAAGCGAACCCTGCTCTTGACGAAGGACAAGAAAGTACCGCTCCTGTGGAAGGTCCTGGCAAACAAATACCAGGGACAGCTGGAATTTGGAACCCATCGTGACCGCAAAGGAAAGTCCTCTGTGGCGATGGGCTTCGAGGCAGGAGATCTCGTGAAGAAAGAGTCAAAGGTTCTTGTCTATTCTCCTGGATCGACGACCCCGTTCCGTTATGGCGGTACGCCCTTCATTCCCTCGCCGAAATGTCTGTTAACGCTCAATGCAGGCATCAATAAGCTGGATTCCCTCAGCAAATTCTTCGACTCCGTTATCGACGGTACTGCGGACCTCACAGTAATCAACGAGGAGGCCAAAGCCGAAGAGTACGAACCCACCGCAGAAGAGATTGAAATCCAGCAGAAACAAGAAGCCCAACGGCTGGCCCTTCTTCACGGCGGGTTCTCCGACCTAATCGACTTCGAGCAGGCCGTGCTGAACGGAGACGCCGCGAGCTACCATGATACGAACGGGTTTGGTTCGCCCCCGCCCTTGAAGAAGAAAGAAGAGGCAGCGGAGAGTGACGCAGCCAAATCCGAGGACGCTGGCGCGGAGGCTACTATGAAGGCGACACCAACCCCAGAACCTCACGTCGGAAAGAACGAGGCTGAGCTGTAGTTGACTTCAACCACCGTTGTAATTCTATAGATTATTTTATTTTCTCTTTTCGGACTTAGCGAGGAACTTAGCAAGGACTTAGTCAGTGTCAAAACAAGGGCAACGTGCGTTTGTTCCCTAAATAAGAATTTAGTAGCTCCTCCTCAGATTCTTTGAACTGTGGACTCGCGCGACGCGCTGAGGTTCTAAATG